TGTGTGTGTGTGTGTGTGTGTGTGTGTGTGTGTGTGTGTGTGTGTGTGTAAGGTGGTCAGTAGTCTTGCTTGTGTGTATTCACATTAGATGTATTCCCACCTCCCCTGCCTGCTGGCAGCTGTGTTGATTCTGGCTGGCTGAAATGTAGGTCAGAGAGACGGCAGCTCTCAAACCAGCCGTTCCCCTCACCCGCCCCCCCCCCCCCCATGGCTTCTCTCCTTCAGCCCATGCCCTTGCTCTTAGCTATTTACCCAAATCTCCTCTGTCTTTCTCTATCATGTCCTCCCACCAATCTGTCTGCCAAGCCCCTGAACCCCAAACACACACACATCAGTGCAAAGGCTAGCGGTTCTTTATGCATGTGTCGAAATCCACATGTGCAAATGTGCAAACGCATACGCCACACACGTATTGTTGATGCAATGTTTATTTGCAAAGAGCTTGTGAGCACATTTTTTTGTCATGCCAAGGCATCTTGAAACACTAATTATTTCTGTAATGTAATCAAGATACTTCTCACACTGCACAATACTCCACCCAACTCAAATGTGGAGCCCATTTGATTCCCCCCCCCCCCCCCCCCCCCTCCCTTTAGTAACTAAATCCCTCTCTATGACCTCCCTCTGAAAAACTGAGATATCTTCAACAGACTCGACCAGGTACAGTCTACAGACTTGTGAATTGCAGATTCTGTTTAATGCGGTGACAGGTGAATGGCTGTCACCATCCTGACAGGACAGTCTAAATACGACCCATCACTTTTCTCCACAGCTCACATTTGTATGCATTTTTCTTGGAGTGGCCCCCAAAAGGAGGTTACATTTCACCTTTCTATCAAGAGAACAAAGTGCATGTCAAGGGTATAATTAACTCCAATTACACCAGGGAAGGCTTGGATATAAGTGCTGCTTCTGTCTCGCCGAAAGAAAGTGTTGCTTACTGGGTCACTGCTGTATTTAACTGCATTATTTTACAACCCTGCAGCTTTTGTAATAATAGAAATTATAATAAGGTCAGTTCGTTTAAAAAAAAAAAAAATTAAAAATTAAAAATCTGGATAGCTAAGAAGAAAAAAGAAAAGACAAATTGTCACTGTGAGGATGAGGAATCCACAAGGTCATCTTTCATCACGGTCCGCACCTCTGAAAGCCCCGAGCCGGCAGATTTATGTTAACCTTCAAAGCATCTCTGGAGCAGGAATGTCCATAGAGCGGGTCAAAACCATGGGAAACGTGTCTGTGGCTTGTAGGGGAAGCACAGAGTTGGAGCCGTATGGAGACACATGTAGTACATACACATGTACAAGTTCATACATCTGTCTGTGCATGTACATTATTTAACCATAATGCTTCTTTTTTTTTTGACTTGTTCACACAAGAAATAGCGAAACCTGTAGTTCATTCATGTCCAGCAATATTTACTTTGCTCTTAATCTATTCATGCTCTTCTCGTGGTTTACATTCCCAATACTTATGTTAGCATGACAGAAGACGATACATATGCGGAGCGAAGTCTGGAGGTTTCTCTTCCCCTCAGATTCCTGTCGTATGCTGCGACTCATAAAGTTGAATACCTCTTTGTTGCAGGGGAAATCGGTGTCTTTGACTAACTTCTTCAGGATAGCCCGGAACACCATGACCATGTGCTTTAACAAGGAGCCAGGGGCTGCTGATGTTGAGGTTAGCATGCTTAACATCTTGTACTGAACGTAAACTGCATTGTCTGCATAGACGATCCACAGCACTCACTGTCCAGCGTTTTATTGGAACAATGTTCTACAAGTAAATGGTTCCAATAAAGACTGCTGACGGTGAGTTCTGTGGATTATATAGATAAAATATGTCTGACCAACTGTCCAAAGCCCCCAGAGGACTTAGAAAACTCTCTAATAATCACATTTGGGAAGGAACCACTGTACTATACTGTCTTTTTTTATGACTCTTTTAAGGCATACTGTAGTATGACATTTTTATGATATACTATGACTTTTACGAGTTTTAATGTGGTGGTGGTTGAACTTATTAGAATTTGGTGGTCAAAGGTCACTACGACCTCACAAAACTTGTTTCTGGCCATAACTGAAGAATTCATATGCAAATTTCACAAAAATATCTAAAGTGATGAAAAGATGAAATTTTGTACAGACATAATATAAACCGCAACATGACGGGTTGGTGGATGCATAGAAATACTAGGTGGTAATTGTATTCATTGCATACTATACTATTGTTGTTGTATGACTTTATAATGATGACACACTAAAGCTTCTAGTGGCATGTCTTAAAATGTATATTTTCTTCATAATGAAGAATTTTGTTTTCATTCATGTGAACCTCATTAAAAATGGTATTATTCTGTTTTTACCCAAAACTTCAGTTATCTAACCTTGCTTTATGCATTCTTCCACTGATTGGCTTTCTTTCCTTTTTTGTTCCTGCAGGAAGAGTACTGGAGGATTGTGGAGCAGAGAGACAGCCATGTGGCAGTGCATTGTGGGAAGGTGGACACTAGCACACATGGGAGTGGATTCCCCACAGGAAAGTCAGAGCCATTTTCAAAGTAAGTAGCTCACTACACCACACTCACTTTAAAGCTCGCACAGAATATTCTGCTTGTGTTGCCAGACTGTCGTTCTGACCTGTTAACCATTAGTATTTATCTTAGAAGGTGAACACTGTCTGCTTCATCTTCTTTAGCCATCTTGTCTCTTCTTTATCCCTGGAAAATAATGTAGAAATGACCATTTCCTCTTATCTTTTCCTCAGACATGGATGGAACCTCACTGTCCTTCCCAATAACTCTGGATCCATTCTGAGGCATCTGGGTGCTGTGCCTGGTAAGGAAGTGTAAAGGCATTCCTCTACAGCATTAAGGCTCAATACCAAACTCAAACAAACCCTAATAATCTCTCAGTCATTTTGCCCTATAAATGCATTTTCTGGAGCAGTTCACAATGTCATTGTGTCTGTAATTTGCAGCTAGTAATAATAACCTTATGCTCTTGTTTCCTTCTCTTTAAACCCCTCTGTCTCCCTAGGGGTGACCATTCCCTGGCTTAACATTGGCATGGTCTTTTCTACCTCATGCTGGTCTCGAGACCAAAATCGCCTTCCATTTATTGATTACTTACACACTGGTGCTGATTGCATTTGGTAAGTGTTCACCAGGCTCTCTTCCTCATCGTCACTGATATAGAGAGTACACATGATAACACCGAGGTAGAGAAACCATTAGGATAAGTAACAGTATAACGGTGGACAATTCTTTGCAATTGGAGTAGATTCAACTGATAATGGGATGGAACCTTTAGTATGACTCTGTCCATGTGTGTTGATGTCTGTGTGTGTCCCTCCCACAGGTATTCTGTCCCTGCTGAGGAGAAGGCTAAGCTGGACAAGGTGGTCCATACACTGCTTCAGGCCAATGGCACCCCAGGACTAGAAATGTTGGAGAAGAACATCATGGTCAGTGTTTTCTGAACTCTCTGAAGCCACTTTGTTACCAAAAAATATACAGTCTCAGAAATGTAACACACATTTTTGGTCTTCCAGATCTCTCCAGAGGTGCTGTGCCGCGAAGGCATCAAGGTTTATCGTACGGTCCAGCGGAGCGGCCAGTTTGTGGTCTGCTACCCCGGTGCCTTCGTCTCTAAAGTGTGCTGTGGCTACAGCGTGTCAGAGACGGTGCACTTTGCCACGCCGCACTGGATGAACCTGGGTTACCAGGCCGCAAAGGTCAGCACATGAATCTGGGAGGGAAGATCAGTACAAGGGGCTATGTTCAAATAATAATGGAGCATCACTTATGTATATGTGGAAAACAAAATGAAAAAAAAAAGGAAATCAAACTGGTCGAATAAATGACCAGAGTTTTTATTTTGAGACGTAAAGAAATGACACAATAAAACACATCAGAAACAGTATTTTTCACGAGAATCATAATTTGTAATGTGTGTTCCGATTTTGTGTGCAGGACCTGAAATGCCGTCGTATAGCCAAACCCTTTTCCATGGAGAAGCTACTGTACCAGATCGCTGCAGCCGAATCCAAGAGGGACAATGGCCTTCTCCTCACCACCATCTCCGCTCTACTCAAAGACCTCAGGTAGGACGCAGAATGTAGAATTGTATCTGTAAGTGAAAACTCCACGTCCTTTTAACTAATCGCTTGTTGAAGCAATCAAATGTTGCATTATGGGTATATTCATGCTGTATATAACTGCTATCCACTGCAAACGCCTTTTTAATAGAAGATGTCCCACTCCTCACATTTTCCCAGAACAATAAAACAACTTAATGCAACATAAGAGTTTGAGCACAGCTTTTGCACGATGGCAGCAATGGTTTTTCTGGCTCCAACTAGCTTAACCAGTATCTTTCTTGTCCAATAGGAACATAGAGATGCGCCAACGACAGGAACTGTACAAGGCAGGTTTGCTCTCCTCTGCCCGCTACGGCACCCATGACGGCAGCCTGGGCCCCGGGGAGGGACGCAAGAAGCCCCGTGGGAAATGGCTGGCACTTGAGTCCTCAGAGAGACGCTGTCAGATCTGTCAGCATCTCTGCTACCTGTCCATGGTGAGAGCAGAGGGCACACACGTTTCACAGACTGTGGTCGGGAGACACGGGGACTCGTTTTCTAAAATGCTTTAGCGCCAGTAGTTTCATATACTTTGGCATTTTGAAGCAAGTTTTTATTAAAGTTATCTATTCCTGTAATCATCAATAATGCAAGAGTTTTTCAGTTTGTATGCATTATTTTGCATTATACCCTGCAAAAACAGAGCTTATATACTGTACTAATAACATACATAAAAACATCCCTATTTATTTGCACACTGGCAAGACTTCTTTTATGGCCCAATATTTTAAAGCATCTAAACCAAATGATGAAGTGATCAAATTGAATGCCACGATATTGTAATAAATTCAACTCGTGCAGAATAGTGTAGGAGTGGAAGACATTTAAATGATTTATCTCTGTAATGAGAGACTTCTGTATTGAGTGTGCGGTTCCTACAGTAATGTCTCTGTTTCGGTTTCCGTCTGTGCAGGTGGTTCAGGAGACCGACAACGTGGTCTTCTGTCTGGAGTGTGCCCTGCGTTATGTGGAGAAGCACAAGTCCTGCAGAGGCCTTAAGATGATGTACCGATACGATGAGGTGAGCAGGGCCACCCACCCAGAGACATTACTGTAGGAACCGCACACTCAATACAGAAGTCT